AGGTGTATATCAGTATGTAGTGTCTCTACTTTAATGAGTCCTCTCCTGCTGATGTTCAGGTGTATATCAGTATGTAGTGTCTCTACTTTAAAGAGTCCTCTCCTGCTGATGTTCAGGTGTATATCAGTATGTAGTGTCTCTACTTTAAAGAGTCCTCTCCTGCTGATGTTCAGGTGTATATCAGTATGTAGTGTCTCTACTTTAAGAGTCCTCTCCTGCTGATGTTCAGGTGTATATCAGTATGTAGTGTCTCTACTTTAAAGAGTCCTCTCCTGCTGATGTTCAGGTGTATATTAGTATGTAGTGTCTCTACTTTAATGAGTCCTCTCCTGCTGATGTTCAGGTGTATATCAGTAGGTAGTGTCTCTACTTTAAAGAGTCCTCTCCTGCTGATGTTCAGGTGTATATCAGTATGTAGTGTCTCTACTTTAAAGAGTCCTCTCCTGCTGATGTTCAGGTGTATATCAGTATGTAGTGTCTCTACTTTAAAGAGTCCTCTCCTGCTGATGTTCAGGTGTATATCAGTATGTAGTGTCTCTACTTTAAAGAGTCCTCTCCTGCTGATGTTCAGGTGTATATCAGTATGTAGTGTCTCTACTTTAAAGAGTCCTCTCCTGCTGATGTTCAGGTGTATATCAGTATGTAGTGTCTCTACTTTACAGAGTCCTCTCCTGCTGATGTTCAGGTGTATATCAGTATGTAGTTGTCTCTACTTTAAAGAGTCCTCTCCTGCTGATGTTCAGGTGTATATCAGTATGTAGTGTCTCTACTTTAAAGAGTCCTCTCCTGCTGATGTTCAGGTGTATATCAGTATGTAGTGTCTCTACTTTAAAGAGTCCTCTCCTGCTGATGTTCAGGTGTATATCAGTATGTAGTGTCTCTACTTTAAAGAGTCCTTTCCTGCTGATGTTCAGGTGTATATCAGTATGTAGTGTCTCTACTTTAAAGAGTCCTCTCCTGCTGATGTTCAGGTGTATATCAGTATGTCGTGTCTCTACTTTAAAGAGTCCTCTCCTGCTGATGTTCAGGTGTATATCAGTATGTAGTGTCTCTACTTTAAAGAGTCCTCTCCTGCTGATGTTCAGGTGTATATCAGTATGTAGTCTCTACTTTAAAGAGTCCTCTCCTGCTGATGTTCAGGTGTATATCAGTATGTAGTGTCTCTACTTTAAAGAGTCCTCTCCTGCTGATGTTCAGGTGTATATCAGTATGTAGAAGTTGTTGTTACTCGTATGCATTACAGTAAGTGTTTTAGACTGGATTAAGAGAGAAATATTAAATACATGCAGCATATTATCCACATCAATCAATTAAATTAAATTAAAAGCAGCGGCAAAAAGAAAGTCTTCAGCCTGGATTTAAAAGCAGTCAGAGTTGCAGCAGACCTGCAGGTTTCTGGGAGTTTGTTCCAGATATTTGATAATATCCCTAACCAGATTCTCACATTCCTCCACACCTAGTCTTCCCGTGAAATGATAGTTCTTTTGACACTTTTCTAACCTTTTCATATTCCTTTCATCCTTCTCTTCCATCCATTGAGCCGTTTGTATTGAGCAGGATGCAACGCCCCGATGTGACTTTCTTTAAAGCTGCTGCTGTTCAGATTCAAATGACAGACATTTTCCCGGAGCATCACTTCCTCGCCCCGCCTTCGGTATGTAGCTGCTCATTCACGGGCTTAAAAGCTTTGCCTCTTCCCCCCTACGCCACATGGAAGTTGTGCACGGAGACGTTCAGTTACTATGCTCCAAACATCTGGAACAAGCTCCCAGAAACCTGCCGGTCCGCTGCGACTCTTACTACTTTCAAATCCAGGCTGGAGACTTTTCTTTTTGCCGCTGCTTTTAATTGAACTATTCACATCTCACACTGCTCTGTAACTTGTATTCATGTTCCTTTGTTATTGTCGTTGCTCATTCTTGTAGGATATTTAAAAGTGTGCCACATTAACACGGCTCCGCTTCTTGACTCACACGTTAAAAACAGTCCAAATAAAACTCTGTAGGCGCTGATTTATTTGCCTTCCTTTGGCGGATCCAGCCTGAGGCTCAGTCCCACCCCTTCCTTATATAGGAATGTTATGTTTTATTTCTTTCCGTTAACCGTCAAGTGGGAAATAAGTGTTTTTTGTGTTTCTCTTAGTATCCTAAGATACTGTTATGTTAGGCTGTGAAAAAAAACCATCAGACCATCTATTTCTATTTATTTACATTTCTTTTAGAAAAGGTCATATCAGATTGTTTTCTTCTCCCTGCTCCTTTTCGCTCAATAGAGAGGCGAAGTCCCGCCCTTCTGCTTCCCCCATGGGACCTTATTTCTGAAAAAGTATGTATTGAAGTCAATGGAGAGAGAAAGATTATCTTTCGATCCCGTTTGAATTGTGCCACGAATTACACACATGATGTTTGTCAATTTAAAAGATCATTTCCGTGTAAAAAAAGTCCCAGTTTGTCGGAAAACAGTTGAAATATAAGAGACTACAAATCCCAGAGTCCCGGTCCCGCATGCTGGCTCTCACGGAACCGACTAACTCCCCTTGTGTGTGCACAGCTCTCAACGTGCCCAGACTTGCAGTGATTTTTACCTCTTTTAATACTTTCCGCCTCATTCTGAAAGAAAGAAGTGAAATGTTTCAACGTGACGGCCGTCTGGGTGTGTGGTGCGAGATGGGAGATGTAGGTCATTGAGCGGTTTCACACAAATTGTTACTTCACAGTTTTACGACACATATTTATTTTTTTGACTTGCAAAATTATCTTTTAAATTGACAAACATCATATGTGTAATTCGTGGCACAATTCAAACGGGATGGAAAGATAATCTTTCTCTCTCCATTGACTTCAATACATACAATCCAAAGTAAGGTCCCATGGAAGTCCCCCGGAAAGGGGAGGGGCTTCGCCTCTCTATAGTGTGTTTGTAGAGACATGTTTTGTTGGCAATTATTGTACATTGGGTTTTGCGTACCGTGAGCGGAACAAATACAAATGAAATGAAATATAACAGCTGATTGATCACAATAAATCCAAATTATTCTCAGAATATTTAATTCAATACTAATTCCTAAATTGAAACAATATATTAAGATCTAAATTAATTAGGAAATAATACATTTATTATCAACACAAAAAATGGCTCCAATAGTTATTCTTGTTTTATTATCTTTGCTTTTCAATGCGTGTTTTTAAATGCCATTTTATAATATGGTTCTTAATGCTCTTAATGTCTTTTTGTAAAGCGCTTTGAATTGCCTTGTGTTGAAAGGTGCGGTATAAATAAACTTGCCTTGCCTTAGACATGTTTCCCACGAGAGTCTTTAACCCTCGTCTCGCTGCTATTCATTCAAATGTTACTTTATTATTTGCCCTTCTTGTTTGTTTGTTCCCCGTGTAAAGCGGCCTTGGGTTCCTTGAAAGGCGCTATACAAATGTAATCTATTATGATTGTGATTAGACAGGAGTCTGAGGGCTGATTGGAGGAACAGACTGATGAGATGATTGGCTGGCTGCTCGGCTGGAGACATTACACTGGGATGATCTCTGCATTATATCACTAACCCAGATATCTGCTTCATGTATTCATGCAGCAGTGGAGTGGCCGACTTGTGAGGATGAGAAACAATACGCAGAATGAAAAGAGAGACCTTTATCTGCGTGTAAATAACCTGGGGTCAGAGGGTTAGGGCTAACCTTAGATCTATCTAATGAAAAGATGTATCTGCAAGCGGGGAAATGATGATCACAAGCTGTCAGAGAGACCTTCTGCAGGGGAAGGGCTGTTGCACTGAACAAAACCACAACCTTGAAGCAAGAACCTTTCCTGAAGCAGCCTATTGAAATGATTGTCGCACACATTCAGTGCATTATGCTCTTTTTATTATGCCTGCAAATTGTATAAAATGTACATTAACGTAAAGGTTAGAGAATCCTTTTCCAGACCCTTTTGCAGTCTACGTGTCGTCTGTGACAAACATGTACTTTATTTAGAAGGGGAACAGGGTATGTATCTCTTGTATGCATTACAGTAAGTATTTAAGACTTCATTATTTCACTTTCAGTAACCATTTGGTGAGACAAACCCAAAGGAAACAATCCTAAAGGGTTGAATTTAATGAAGGAACCCTGATTATTGTTTATTATGTTTGTTTTAAGTGATATACTATATATTTTGGGTGCCTTGTTTATTTTCCTGTCTTTTAACTAGCAGATAAAAGAGGTCAATTTCACTGCCGTACAAATTATTCAAAACATTGCATTAACTTAAATTGTCCGTACAATCCGAAACAACGTTAAGTACAATAACTTATCAAGATGCTGTGATCCCCTTTTTATCAAAGGAGTTGCTAAACATCGTATTTTGTTACGGTGTGTGAAGCAGGTAGGACCCAAATGCAGATTAACGTGAACATTCCTTTATTTCAAGGCTAGGGATATAAACAAAGACAAAACAGAACACTCACCGACAAACTAGTCATGACACAAGACGAACCGACAAAGACAGACAGAAAAACCAGAACTTAAATACACACAAGACTAATCACACAAACAAGACACAGGTGAGGAGGGAGGAGATAACACAGGGACACCAGGTGAACACAATCGGGTAATCAGACACACCAGGGAAACTAACGACAGGGAACCACAGACAGATCTAAACAAGACACAACGCAGACAGAAAACCAAAAACAGATCTAGACAAGACACAACGCAGACAGAAAACCAAAAACAGATCTAGACAAGACAAAACACCATAAAGACAGATCGTGACAGTTTTTAATGTTTCGGGCTTCGTCTGATTGTTGTGATCTGTATTATACCTCGGTCACTGTTCAGTTTCCCATTTGTTTGTGATTTTATACATATTTTAATATATATTTGTATTTTTCTATTGTGTGAAACGGTATTTCGATCTCTCTGTCTGTCCACACAAACTGAAAGAATGACAACAAAGTTGACTTTCGACTTGATTTGATCCTGAGATAATGTGTGTCCATCCTGCAGGTGATCACAGATCTGGAGGAGCAGCTGACGGCGCTGACGCAGGATAACGCCGAGCTGAACCGGCAGAACTTCTACCTCTCCAAGCAGCTGGACGAGGCTTCAGACGAGCGGGAGGACCGGCTGCACCTCGGCCAGGACGTGGACCGGCTGAGGAGGGAGGTGGCCGACCGCGAGATGCACCTCAACAACCAGAAACAGGTACGGGGGCTGTGTGTGTGTGTGTGTGTGTGTGTGTGTGTGTGTGGTGTGTTGTGTGTGTGTGTGTGTGTGTGTGTGTGGTGTGTGTGTGATGTGGTGTGTGTGTGTGTGTGTGGGTGTGTGTGTGTGTGTGTGTGTGTGTGTGTGTGTGTGTGTGTGTGTGGTGTGTGTGTGTGTGTGTGTGTGTGTGTGTGTGTGTGTGTGTGTGTGTGTGGTGTGTGTGTGTGTGTGTGTGTGTGTGTGTGTGTGTGTGTGTGTGTGTGTGGCCTATCATTACTATACTTGTGGGGACCTACATCTGTTTACATAGTCACGTGTGGGGACTCGCCTCCCTTATGGGGACAAATTGGAGGTCCCCATAAGGGGAATCATTAATTTTAGTGTGAAGACTTGGTTAGGGTTAGGGTTAGGCATGTGTTGGTTATGGTTAAGGTTAGGATAAGTCTCCAGGAAATGCATGTAAGTCAATGTAATGTCCCCTGAAGTGATGTATACATGGTGTGTGTATGTGTGTATGTGTATGTGTGTATGTGTATGTGTGTGTGTGTACAACAAGTAGTTTGTTAAATGGTGCCTCTGCCGCTTAGAGCACTATGTTAAGAGTCCATCCATCCCATGTTGGTGAACATGATATCTCTAAAAACACCTGGAGGGAAGTTCTTCATATTTGGCATGAAGGATGAATTGATTTGCATTTGTTGCTAACATACAAGCATATTTTTGGACATTAATTTTCATGACACTTAATGAACTGGTGAAGCATAGGCCACGGAAGAAGCTGTACAAATGTGTCTTGGATCTGAATACTAATGCAAACACCCCACTGCTTTTTACCTATGGATACAGCCTTAGTGGAAATGTTTGTTAATGGCTAAATAGGATGCAGAGAAACGCCTTCATTGAATCAATTCTGACGTAGCCAGCACATGACGAAGCCAGCTGTTAGCGCAGATATATATTTATATTGCCCAGACAGTATGAAACTATAATATCTAAGCTGACACACATTTCATTTTTTGAATCATTCTTAAAGTCCATGTTGATCTTGTCGATGTTTTAGGAGCACTCCATCTTGTTTTGTTTGCAATACACAGTTCTTACCCTTTGTTGACTTCACAATGAAAGCCTTGCGTATGGTTGTCTAGTACCTACTTCTGACTCTGCTGTGAACAACCAGTTCAAGGAAACGCTGGTAAATAGCTTTTCTGTATTTTTGCAACTTTTCAAACATCACATTTTCTAATAAATTGTGGGGGAAATCAAAAGGCTTATTTTTAAACCAGTTTGTTTATCACAGTTCACAGCTATGCTCTGAACCAATCACTATAGGCCATGGTTACATTTTTGAATGAGGTTGAAGATGTTGAAGAATAAATACACATATTTCAAATAGTGCATTTTCTGTTATCATGATTGGTTTGATGACCGCTTCTAGAATTATCTTGAGACGTTGGAAAACAGACAAGTCTCCGGACTCGAAGGAATTGGTCGGCAATGCAATGGTTGAGGCTGCGTCCTACGAGGCTATGCTTACTATGATGGAAGGCGATGGAAATGATGACGATACTCGTTGGGAAAGTTTCTGGACACAGAAAATAGTTTGCCCAAAATCAGTAGTCCAAACACTATTTCCATTCAATTGCTGATGTACTGTTTTGTTATGCAAACCATGCCTTATAATGTCTTTGCCAGGACCCTGGGGAAGTGTTTTTTTTAATGCAGTGTGACAACAATTATTTCCTTGTTCTATGAAAGATTCAATACACTTTTGAAAAAGAAGAAGCCACAGTTTTCTGAGATAGAGAAAGTTCTTTCCCCCTGCTTCCCACTCACCGCCCGTCAGACACCAGGTTTCCACTTCCCCACATTATGTGATATCTCCGCTCTACCTCTGACAGCTGATCTGCACACCTCCCTCCTGACAGTCTTAAGTGTAAATCACGCAGCAGACACCCTGCGAACATGGCTGTAATGTTACGAGCTGTATGCTGGCTGCAGAGAGAAACAAAGAGAGGAGGTTTTGTTTGTGTGTGTGTGTGTGTGTGTGTGTTGCCCTGTGGGAGGATCTGTGTGTGGGTGTCCTGCTGGTTGTGTAACCAGCGATGGAAGTCATAGACGAGGGATGTGTGGGAGGGATGTGTCATCCCCATCACTCCCAGGTCGTGTCAGCTGTGAAGCGTTGGACTTCAGAGGCCGCGGTGCTATATTTATCCCCACCGCTCTGTCTAAATCGCGGCGTTGTAAAACACTTTGTGTATGCATGTGCATAACAAAATGCGCTGTGCCCAGATATGCATGTAAATAAATCCACAGGAGCACCAGGGCTGGTTTTATAATTACAGTTTAGGAGTTGTTCTTTAAACTGAAGGTAAATATCCTAATTAGAATATTATTCAAAATCCCTGTTGGCTTTATTTATGATATATTTGTAATGATATCTATATGGATGGATGGATGGATGGATGGATGGATATCTATATGGACGGATGGATGGATGGATGGATGGATGGATGGATGGATATCTATATGGACAGATGGATGGATGGATGGATATCTATATGGACGGATGGATGGATGGATGGATGGATGGATGGATGGATGGATGGATGGATGGATGGATATCTATATGGACGGATGGATGGATGGATGGATGGATGGATGGATATCTATATGGACGGATGGATGGATGGATGGATGGATATCTATATGGACGGATGGATGGATGGATGGATGGATGGATGGATGGATGGATATCTATATGGACGGATGGATGGATGGATGGATGGATGGATGGATGGATGGATGGATGGATGGATATCTATATGGACGGATGGATGGATGGATGGATGGATGGATGGATGGATGGATGATATCTATATGGACGGATGGATGGATGGATGGATGGATGGATGGATATCTATATGGACGGATGGATGGATGGATGGATGGATATCTATATGGACGGATGGATGGATGGATGGATGGATGGATATCTATATGGACGGATGGATGGATGGATGGATTGGATATGGATATTGTCGGTTGGCTGGTTGGTTACAGTACAAAACCTTTAATTAAAATACTCTCCTGAAAACACACACAGTCAATAAACTAGTGTTTATTTGAGGCTGTGATACCAAAATTCCGTAAAGTAAATATTTGAAAATTGATTATTTAGTTTAGTATTATTTTACTTTTCTCAGCACATGTTAAGCCCCCCGCTTAATGTGCTGAGAAAAGACCAACAAAATAATCAAGGGTCAAGTGAAGGGTTTCTCCCTCAGATAATTTGCACATAAAACACTTTTTATTCATAAACTTATATTTAATAAAATGTCTGAAAGGAATATAATGGAAATTCAGGGGCCTGGTGTGTTTCCACTTTATATGTTATTAATAATTTGTATTTATTTATTTATGTATTGTATTATTAGTTTTCCGTTGTATATATTTTTGTATTGGTTGTATTGATGTATTCATTAATATTATCGTCACTCAATGTAATTTCCGTAGGTCTACTTTTTTTCCTTTAATATTGTCACTGCTAATTCAATTGGTCAGTCCATTTTATAAGTGTGGTATTTTTGTACTCTTATTTATTTATATTTCTTAGCAATATATTGTGCTTAACATGTTGAGTATTTTTTAATATTAGAGGGATGTTTGTCCCATGAATATATATGACATCCTTTCTCTCCTTTATAAAGCTGTGTTTATTGCTGTCAATGACTGACTTGATATATTTACTTGGTACAGTTTGGGTATAAAAGGTATTTCTTATATAAACCCTGTTTTGCCTCAGAACCTGGTGACCCTGAAGACCACCTGCACGATGCTGGAGGAGCAGGTGCTGGAGCTGGAGACCCTGAACGACGAGCTGCTGGAGAAGGAGAGGCAGTGGGAAGCCTGGAGGTCGACTCTGGAGGACGAGAAGAACCAGGCGGAGAGGAGAACCAGAGACATCCAGAGACTGCTGGACACTGAGAAACAGAACAGGTTACTCACGTCCACTATTAATGACATTTATAGACTACATTTAATTTAACGTATGAAAATAAATAAGAAGGTATGTACAGTAGGTTGGAGACAGAGGGATGGTTGGTTGGTTGGTTGGTTGGTTGGTTGGTTGGTTGGTTAGTTAGTTAGTTAAATGCATGGATGAATATGTGGATGGTTGGTTGGTTGGTTGGTTGGTAGGTATGTTGGTTGGTTGGATGGATGGATAGATGGATGGATGGATGAATGGATGGATTTATAAATGGATGGTTGTATTGTTGGTTGGTTGGTTGGTTGGTTGGTAGGTATGTTGGTTGGATGGATGGATGGATAGATGGATGGATGGATGAATGGATGGATTTATAAATGGATGGATGGATTTATAAATGGACGGTTGTATTGTTGGTTGGTTGGTTGGTTGGTTGGTTGGTTGGTTGGTTGGTTGGATAGATGGATGGTTGGCTTATGGATGTAGGGATGGTTAGATGGATTCATGAATAGATGGATGGATAAATGGTTGTTTGTTTGTTTGGTTTTGTTTGATAGATGGATGGATGGATGGAATAGATGGACAGTATGTCGGTAGATTGAATCGAAAGTTAGGTCGGTTGGGTTGATGTATGGATGGTTGTTTGGTGGTTTGGATGTCGGATGGATGGAAGTAGTTACGCAAGTTGGTTGGATGGTTTGTAGGTTAGTAAGTCCATTTGGTGTTGAGTTTTATTTTCACTGAGATTTACTGGACAAAACTAAAACATTTAGTTTTGCTGCCACGTGGGAGATGTATGAATGAATTTGTATTTTCCCAAGGTGATCTTGCTTTGTACAGAGAGAACAAAAGAACAAACAACATCAACAAACACCATTTAAAAAAAAAAAAAAAACAAAAAAAAAAAACGAGAAACATAATTTAAGAAGTAAATAAAGCACATCAGTTCAAAAGGGGCAGAGTTCAGAGTTTAGTCAAACTGAAAGATTAATCGACGTCAGAGCACATATAGTGTGTACAGTAATCCATTATGTAATTTAAACCTTAAGAAATGTGAGAAAGGGTTATGATTTTATTTGTAAAGGCAGGAGAAATATCTTAATTTCTTTGCTGTGGATGTTGCTGTTGCTATCAGTGTTGGATCAGCTCCCTCCGCCCACACACTGAATGCAACAAGTTTGGCAATATTCTCCAGGCTTTCTCAAAAGGTATTCTGGGAACTATATGAAATTATTTTCTGAGTTGGTGTTGGCAGAAGGCGTGTGATGAGAACTGTGTACACGAAAAGCATATTAATAAGGTTTTTAGACTAAAACGAAGGAGAAGTTGCAGAAATACCTGGAAAGGCTGCAGAATACTTAGTTTATCACAGGGGGAAATTGGGTTTTGTGACTATTTTAAAGGTCGCCTATTATGCAAAATCCACTTTGTCATGTCTCTTCTACATCAACATGTGTCCCCTCTTCTCCATGTCTCTTCTACATCAACATGTGTCCCCTCTTCTTCATGTCTCTTCTACATCAACATGTGTCCCCTCTTCTTCATGTCTCTTCTACATCAACATGTGTCCCCTCTTCTTCATGTCTCTTCTACATCAACATGTGTCCCCTCTTCTCCATGTCTCTTCTACATCAACATGTGTCCCCTCTTCTTCATGTCTCTTCTACATCAACATGTGTCCCCTCTTCTTCATGTCTCTTCTACATCAACATGTGTCCCCTCTTCTCCATGTCTCTTCTACATCAACATGTGTCCCCTCTTCTTCATGTCTCTTCTACATCAACATGTGTCCCCTCTTCTTCATGTCTCTTCTACATCAACATGTGTCCCCTCTTCTTCATGTCTCTTCTACATCAACATGTGTCCCCTCTTCTTCATGTCTCTTCTACATCAACATGTGTCCCCTCTGTGGAAAGAGACTCTGAAAGTTTCAGGAACAAAGATTCTCTCTCTTTTTGTCCTGATCCATTTATATAAAAAGTTAAAACCTGTCTGAAAATGAGCTGATCAGATTTTGGCCACTTTATGGCGATGTGTTGTCTTGTGTAACCGTTAGCCAATCAGCAACCAAGGTAACCCCCCCCCCCCCCCCCCCCCCCCCCCCCCCCCCCCTTATCACCTGAATCTCCTCCTAGAGCACCATTGTGTTATTTTTAACCAATCATCTCTCAGAGGGGCGTGGCCAGCAGCAGCTCATTAGCATTTACAGCTACAGACCAGAGTCCTGCATCGGGGCGGGTACCCGACGGGTGACCAGCAAAAAAAGTGATTCGTATTTGGTATTTTTTCAAACATTTTTTTTCGGGTTCGGTTCTGGGTAAAACAAAGAAGATGCGGGTCGGATCTATTCTCAATTCATGATTGGTGAACCTCTTAGATATGTGCCGTCCCTTAGCCTATCCAGTAGCGAGTGTTCCATAGTGATGTCATTATGTTCCCGGAAGTAAAAAAAGTCCAATGAAGGTGTTTTTGGGGAACTATACACTACCTCTGGAGGGCACACAGGGATTTGCAGACCATTTACATGCTAACACCTATAACACGCTACCGGAAAGGGAAAACCGCCCAAAACCTAATAAGGCTTCTTTAAAGTAACTTTATAAACAATGTATTTATGTTTCACGCTCCAGGCTTCGTTCAGAGCAGCGCAGCTCGGAGTCTCGTCTGGCGGTGGAGCAGGCGGTGAAGGAGCACCAAGCGGAGATCGTGGCCCTGCAGCAGGCGCTCAAAGACCAGAAGATCCAGGCTGAGAGCCTCACCGACACCGTAAGCTTTTTCACTCTGACGGATATATATATACAGAGATGGCAAAAGTGCACACACCCTTTACTCAAGTACTCTGGTGAAAGTAGAAGTACTGACTAAACTTCTTTACTCAAGTGAAAGTAAAGAGGCTTTGAAATGTACTTCAGTAAAAAGTACCCATAACTAGCAGCTGTTTTAAAGAGTACCTGACCTCCCTTTATATTAATAGAACAATAATGTCATTGTTAGCTAATGAATGTTTCCATGCTGAACAACGGCAACATGACAACGTTTCCATTGGTCCCTCTTCTTTAGAGAAGACCAGGAAATGATGGATACACGGATCGTGTTCAAATCAATAGGCAATGACTAATGATCACGCATCAAACACACATTCAGACTAAAGGAACCAGCTGTTTGGGAAATGAGAGAAGTAGAAAGTACAGGTATTTGTGTTCAACATGTAAGAAGTAGAAAGTACAGGTATTTGAGTTCAACATGTAAGAAGTAGAAAGTACAGGTATTTGAGTTCAACATGTAAGAAGTAGAAAGTACAGGTATTTGGGTTCAACATGTAAGAAGTAGAAAGTACAGGTATTTGTGTTCAACATGTGAGAAGTAGAAAGTACAGGTATTTGAGTTCAACATGTGAGAAGTAGAAAGTACAGGTATTTGGGTTCAACATGTAAGAAGTAGAAAGTACAGGTATTTGAGTTCAACATGTAAGAAGTAGAAAGTACAGGTATTTGGGTTCAACATGTAAGAAGTAGAAAGTACAGGTATTTGAGTTCAACATGTAGTAAGAAGAAAGTACAGGTATTTGAGTTCAACATGTAAGAAGTAGAAAGTACAGGTATTTGAGTTCAACATGTAAGAAGTAGAAAGTACAGGTATGAGTTCAACATGTAAGAAGTAGAAAGTACAGGTATTTGTGTTCAACATGTAAGAAGTAGAAAGTACAGGTATTTGAGTTCAACATGTAAGAAGTAGAAAGTACAGGTATTTGAGTTCAACATGTAAGAAGTAGAAAGTACAGGTATTTGAGTTCAACATGTAAGAAGTAGAAAGTACAGGTATTTGAGTTCAACATGTGAGAAGTAGAAAGTACAGGTATTTGAGTTCAACATGTAAGAAGTAGAAAGTACAGGTATTTGAGTTCAACATGTAAGAAGTAGAAAGTACAGGTATTTGTGTTCAACATGTAAGAAGTAGAAAGTACAGGTATTTGAGTTCAACATGTAAGAAGTAGAAAGTACAGGTATTTGAGTTCAACATGTAAGAAGTAGAAAGTACAGGTATTTGAGTTCAACATGTAAGAAGTAGAAAGTACAGGTATTTGAGTTCAACATGTAAGAAGTAGAAAGTACAGGTATATGAGTTCAACATGTAAGAAGTAGAAAGTACAGGTATTTGTGTTCAACATGTAAGAAGTAGAAAGTACAGGTATATGAGTTCAACATGTGAGAAGTAGAAAGTACAGGTATTTGAGTTCAACATGTAAGAAGTAGAAAGTACAGGTATATGAGTTCAACATGTAAGAAGTAGAAAGTACAGGTATTTGTGTTCACCATGTAAGAAGTAGAAAGTACAGGTATATGAGTTCAACATGTGAGAAGTAGAAAGTACAGGTATTTGAGTTCAACATGTGAGAAGTAGAAAGTACAGGTATTTGTGTTCAACATGTAAGAAGTAGAAAGTACAGGTATTTGGGTTCAACATGTAAGAAGTAGAAAGTACAGGTATTTGGGTTCAACATGTGAGAAGTAGAAAGTACAGGTATTTGAGTTCAACATGTAAGAAGTAGAAAGTACAGGTATTTGTGTTCAACATGTGAGAAGTAGAAAGTACAGGTATTTGAGTTCAACATGTGAGAAGTAGAAAGTACAGGTATATGAGTTCAACATGTGAGAAGTAGAAAGTACAGGTATTTGGGTTCAACATGTAAGAAGTAGAAAGTACAGGTATATGAGTTCAACATGTGAGAAGTAGAAAGTACAGGTATTTGAGTTCAACATGTGAGAAGTAGAAAGTACAGGTATTTGTGTTCAACATGTAAGAAGTAGAAAGTACAGGTATTTGGGTTCAACATGTAAGAAGTAGAAAGTACAAGTATTTGGGTTCAACATGTGAGAAGTAGAAAGTACAGGTATTTGAGTTCAACATGTAAGAAGTAGAAAGTACAGGTATTTGTGTTCAACATGTAAGAAGTAGAAAGTACAGGTATTTGAGTTCAACATGTAAGAAGTAGAAAGTACAGGTATTTGAGTTCAACATGTAAGAAGTAGAAAGTACAGGTATTTGTGTTCAAAATGTAAGAAGTAGAAAGTACAGGTATTTGTGTTCAACATGTGAGAAGTAGAAAGTACAGGTATTTGGGTTCAACATGTAAGAAGTAGAAAGTACAGGTGTTTGAGTTCAACGTGTAAGAAGTAGAAAGTTCAGGTATTTGTGTTCAAAATGTAAGAAGTAGAAAGTACAGGTATTTGAGTTCAACATGTAAGAAGTAGAAAGTTCAGGTATTTGAGTTCAACATGTAAGAAGTAGAAAGTTCAGGTATTTGAGTTCAACATGTAAGAAGTAGAAAGTTCAGGTATTTGAGTTCAAGATGTAAGAAGTAGAAAGTACAGGTATTTGAGTTCAACATGTGAGAAGTAGAAAGTACAGGTATTTGGGTTCAACATGTAAGAAGTAGAAAGTACAGGTGTTTGAGTTCAACGTGTAAGAAGTAGAAAGTACAGGTATTTGAGTTCAACATGTAAGAAGTAGAAAGTACAGGTATTTGAGTTCAACATGTGAGAAGTAGAAAGTACAGGTATTTGTGTTCAACATGTAAGAAGTAGAAAGTACAGGTATTTGGGTTCAACATGTAAGAAGTAGAAAGTACAGGTATTTGAGTTCAACATGTAAGAAGTAGAAAGTACAGGTATTTGTGTTCAACATGTAAGAAGTAGAAAGTACAGGTATTTGTGTTCAACATGTAAGAAGTAGAAAGTTCAGGTATTTGAGTTCAACATGTAAGAAGTAGAAAGTACAGGTATTTGTGTTCAACATGTAAGAAGTAGAAAGTACAGGTATTTGTGTTCAACATGTGAGAAGTAGAAAGTACAGGTATTTGAGTTCAACATGTGAGAAGTAAAAAGTACAGGTATTTGAGTTCAACATGTAAGAAGTAGAAAGTACAGGTATTTGAGTTCAACATGTAAGAAGTAGAAAGTACAGGTATTTGGGTTCAACATGTAAGAAGTAGAAAGTACAGGTATTTGAGTTCAACATGTAAGAAGTAGAAAGTACAGGTATTTGGGTTCAACATGTAAGAAGTAGAAAGTACAGGTATTTGTGTTCAACATGTAAGAAGTAGAAAGTACAGGTATTTGAGTTCAACATGTAAGAAGTAGAAAGTACAGGTATTTGTGTTCAACATGTAAGAAGTAGAAAGTACAGGTATTTGTGTTCAACATGTAAGAAGTAAAAGTAAAAAGTCGTCAGAAAAATAAGTAGTGGAGTAAAGTACTGATACCAGAAAAATTTGCTTAAGTAACGTAACAAAGTATTTGTACTCCACTACTTCCCACCTCTTTATATATATATGTGAAGAGTTTCTTTCTTCCTGCTCTCAGATGAACGATCTGGAGAAGAAGCACGCCATGCTGGAGATGAACGCCCACAGTCTGCAGCAGAAGCTGGAGGGAGAGAGGGATCTGAAGCAGAGGCTGCTGGAGGAGGTGCGCCATCCCACATCACTGCCATGGGCTTATATGTTTTTATCCAAGGCATCATGTACAAATATTCGACACAAGAAGTTAAAGGGACTTAACAGACATGTATTTATTGAATTACCCTCAAGAAATATATTTAGTCTCTGATTTAAAAACTGTAAAAAAGAAATGAGGGTTCATGAAAAAAATATTTATACGATTCGATAATCGTTTAAGGGTCAAGTCTGAAATGCTCCTTGCATCCCAGCAGCTCCATGCATCCCAGCAGCTCCATGCATTCCAGCAGCTCCATGCAGCTCCATGCATCCCAGCAGCTCCATGCATCCCAGCAGCTCAATGCAGCTCCATGCATCCCAGCAGCTCCATGCATCCCAGCAGCTCCATGCAGCTCCATGCATCCCAGCAGCTCCATGCGTCACATCAGCTCCATGCGTCACATCAGCTCCATGCGTCACATCAGCTCCATGCTTCACATCAGCTCCATGCATCCCAGCAGCTCCATGCGTCACATCAGCTCCATGCATCACATCAGCTCCATGCGTCACATCAGCTCCATGCGTCACATCAGCTCCATGCGTCACATCAGCTCCATGCATCCCAGCAGCTCCATGCGTCACATCAGCTCCATGCGTCACATCAGCTCCATGCGTCACATCAGCTCCATGCATCACATCAGCTCCATGCATCACATCAGCTCCATGCGTCACATCAGCTCCATGCGTCACATCAGCTCCATGCGTCACATCAGCTCCATGCATCCCAGCAGCTCCATGCGTCACATCAGCTCCATGCGTCACATCAGCTCCATGCGTCACATCAGCTCCATGCGTCACATCAGCTCCATGCGTCACATCAGCTCCATGCGTCACATCAGCTCCATGCATCCCAGCAGCTCCTTGCATCCCAGCAGCTCCATGCATCACATCAGCTCCATGCGTCACATCAGCTCCATGCGTCACATCAGCTCCATGCGTCACATCAGCTCCATGCGTCACATCAGCTCCATGCGTCACATCAGCTCCATGCATCCCAGCAGCTCCATGCATCCCAGCAGCTCCATGCGTCACATCAGCTCCATGCGTCACTACAGGCCCAGTCCATGCGTCACATCAGCTCATGCGTCACATCAGCTCCATGCGTCACATCAGCTCCATGCGTCAAATCAGCTCCATGCGTCACTCAGCTCCAGGTCACATAGCTCCATCGGTCACATCAGCTCCATGCATCCCATCAGCTCCATGCATCCCATCAGCTCCATGCATCCCAGCAGCTCCATGCATCACATCAGCTCCATGCATCCCAGCAGCTCCATGCGTCACATCAGCTCCATGCGTCACATCAGCTCCATGCATCCCATCAGCTCCATGCGTCACATCAGCTCCATGCATCACATCAGCTCCATGCATCCCATCAGCTCCATGCGTCACATCAGCTCCATGCATCCCATCAGCTCCATGCATCACATCAGCTCCATGCGTCACATCAGCTCCATGCATCCCATCAGCTCCATGCGTCACATCAGCTCCATGCGTCACATCAGCTCCATGCGTCACATCAGCTCCATGCGTCACATCAGCTCCATGCGTCACATCAGCTCCATGCGTCACATCAGCTCCATGCGTCACATCAGCTCCATGCGTCACATCAGCTCCATGCGTCACATAGCTCCATGTCAGCTCCATGCGTCACATCAGCTCCATGCGTCACATCAGCTCCATGCGTCACATCAGCTCCATGCATCCCATCAGCTCCATGCGTCACATCAGCTCCATGCGTCACATCAGCTCCATGCATCCCATCAGCTCCATGCATCCCAGCAGCTCCATGCATCCCATCAGCTCCATGCGTCACATCAGCTCCATGCGTCACATCAGCTCCATGCATCCCATCAGCTCCATGCATCCCAGCAGCTCCATGCGTCACATCAGCTCCATGCATCCCAGCAGCTCCATGCGTCACATCAGCTCCATGCATCCCATCAGCTCCATGCATCCCATCAGCTCCATGCATCCCATCAGCTCCATGCATCCCAGCAGCTCCATGCATCCCATCAGCTCCATGCATCCCATCAGCTCCATGCATCCCAGCAGCTCCATGCATCCCCAGCAGCTCCATGCGTCACATCAGCTCCATGCATCCCAGCAGCTCCATGCGTCACATCAGCTCCATGCATCCCATCAGCTCCATGCATCCCATCAGCTCCATGCATCCCATCAGCTCCATGCGTCACATCAGCTCCATGCATCACAGCAGCTCCATGCATCCCAGCAGCTCCATGCGTCACATCAGCTCCATGCATCACATCAGCTCCATGCATCACATCAGCTCCATGCGTCACATCAGCTCCATGCGTCACATCAGCTCCATGCGTCACATCAGCTCCATGCGTCACATCAGCTCCATGCATCCCATCAGCTCCATGCGTCACATCAGCTCCATGCATCCCAGCAGCTCCATGCATCCCATCAGCTCCATGCGTCACATCAGCTCCATGCGTCACATCAGCTCCATGCGTCACATCAGCTCCATGCGTCACATCAGCTCCATGCGTCACATCAGCTCCATGCATCCCAGCAGCTCCATGCATCCCAGCAGCTCCATGCATCCCAGCAGCTCCATGCGTCACTTCAACAGACAGACATCAAGACACAACACACGAGAACAAACAAACATTTAACATACCAGCACGATCAGTGAGAGAAGACCTGCTCAAAGAGCCTTCAGCGAGACACTGATGAAGTGTGGGCTGATAAAAGGAGATTTACTTGATATCATTTGAAAATAAATATTGTATTGTAATGTTTTTATTGATGAAGTCAAAGAAGTAGCAAGGAACGCACAATGTAGATTAATTTCAGCCGACACAGATAGTAGATAATTTCCTGTTTTATCATCGCCGATCCCTAAACTTCATAACCTGTGGCAGTGGACTCCTGCTGCCCTTTGTTCCATCATCCGAACCAATTCATGCAAATGTGCTTCGTTTTTGAGATAAAAGGCAAAGCACTTTAAACAAACAATTAGCAAATTAATTTATAACACTTTTAAAAGCATCATTTATTCCTTCATCTAATCTAGCTGTTTTCATCCTGACTCAATTAAGGGGCAAAAGCATTATCACTTAATCATTTCATTATGAATACAAAACAAAATTAACATAATAATAATACATGACACTTATATAGCGCTTTGACTCAAAGACGCTTTGAAATAGAGTAACACAAACACAAAGGAAACGCTTAAGGAGACAAACAAAAACGGGGTTGGGGGGGGGGGGGGGGGGGGCGGTCAGAGAATGAATGCAGTGTTGAACAGGTGGGTTTTGAGTGATTTTTTTGATCTGCCTTCTAATTCGTCTGCTGGATTTAAACCGTGCTTCTCTATCAGCAGAGGTGGCCAAAGTACACACATCCTTTACTCAAGTAGAAGTACAGATACTTGTGTTTAAAAATACTCTGGTGAAAGTAGAAGTACTGACTAAACTTCTTCACTCAAGTGAAAGTAAAGAGGCTTTGAAATGTACTTCAGTAGAAAGTACCCATAACTAGCAGCTGTTTTAAAGAGTACCTGACCTCCCTTTATATTAATAGAACAATAATGTCATTGTTAGCTAATGAATGTTTCCATGCTGAACAACGGCAACATGACAACGTTTCCATTGGTCCCTCTTCTTTAGAGAAGAGCAGGAAATGATGGATACACGGATCGTGTTCAAATCAATAGGCACGCAATGACTCTAAAGAATAATGATCACGCATCAAACACACATTCAGACTAAAGGAACCAGCTGTTTGGAAAATGAGAGAAGTAGAAAGTACAGGTATTTGAGTTCAACATGTAAGAAGTAGAAAGTACAGGTATTTGTGTTCAACATGTGAGAAGTAGAAAGTACAGGTATTTGTGTTCAACATGTAAGAAGTAGAAAGTACAGGTATTTGAGTTCAACATGTGAGAAGTAGAAAGTACAGGTATTTGAGTTCAACATGTAAGAAGTAGAAAGTACAGGTATTAGAGTTCAACATGTAAGAAGTAGAAAGTACAGGTATTTGAGTTCAACATGTAAGAAGTAGAAAGTACAGGTATTTGTGTTCAACATGTGAGAAGTAGAAAGTACAGGTGTTTGTGTTCAACATGTAAGAAGTAGAAAGTTCAGGTATTTGAGTTCAACATGAGAGAAGTAGAAAGTACAGGTATTTGAGTTCAACATGTGAGAAGTAGAAAGTACAGGTATTTGGGTTCAACATATGAGAAGTAGAAAGTACAGGTATTTGAGTTCAACATGTTAGAAGTAGAAAGTACAGGTATTTGGGTTCAACATGTGAGAAGTAGAAAGTACAGGTATTTGGGTTCAACATGTGAGAAGTAGAAAGTACAGGTATTTGAGTTCAACATGTTAGAAGTAGAAAGTACAGGTATTTGGGTTCAACATGTAAGAAGTAGAAAGTACAGGTATTTGAGTTCAACATGTAAGAAGTAGAAAGTACAGGTATTTGAGTTCAACATGTTAGAAGTAGAAAGTACAGGTATTTGAGTTCAACATGTAAGAAGTAGAAAGTACAGGTATTTGAGTTCAACATGTAAGAAGTAGAAAGTACAGGTATTTGAGTTCAACATGTAAGAAGTAGAAAGTACAGGTATTTGAGTTCAACATGTAAGAAGTAGAAAGTACAGGTATTTGAGTTCAACATGTAAGAAGTAGAAAGTACAGGTATTTGAGTTCAACATGTTAGAAGTAGAAAGTACAGGTATTTGGGTTCAACATGTGAGAAGTAGAAAGTACAGGTATTTGAGTTCAACATGTAAGAAGTAGAAAGTACAGGTATTTGAGTTCAACATGTAAGAAGTAGAAAGTACAGGTATTTGAGTTCAACATGTAAGAAGTAGAAAGTACAGGTATTTGTGTTCAACATGTAAGAAGTAGAAAGTACAGGTATTTGAGTTCAACATGTAAGAAGTAGAAAGTACAGGTATTTGAGTTCAACATGTAAGAAGTAGAAAGTACAGGT